CCTTGAGTCTAATCTTCCCTTGTAAGTCATAGCTCCTGGGTTTCATGGAAGCGTGGCAAAGGCAGGGAAATTCCATCTAGCTGTTCAGTAATACATCACCTGGGAGAGGAGAGAGCACAGTCCGACAGAGCTTCCGCAAGGGGAAGAACGGGGTTTAACTGCAAACAGTGTCTTTTACTAATTCTCCTAATTCCCACCCATGTCAGGGATTAACACAGATACTGAGGCAGTTTGGTTATTCTGGTTAATTGTCTTCCCTGTGTTTGCTTTAAGATAAATTTCTTCTTTGTGAAAGAAAAAGCAAAAGCATTTAGTGGTTGCCAGCCTCCAAGTCTTGAAGTGCTAGGAAACAAGGCAAGCTCCAGTACATGTTATCCACAGAAAATACCACAAAGTAGTTGCCTGAAGACTTTAAAAAACCCCTTAAATCTGCTATAGGAATGGAACCCTGCAGGGATCAGACTGTGTATTCCTGTAAAGAAGGACAAAGCTCTGAGCAACCTAATGGCTGCTGGGAGCTGGCCTCACTGTAAGCGGTGGCTTGGACCAGATGACTTCCAGAGGTCTTTTTTTAGTGTGTAATCTTCCCTGGTTCCACAGAACAGTTTTGCTTAATTTGTCACAGCTCTTTTGTAAGCAAGCTTGTATTTCTGTGTAAATCAGCATGGACTTCTGAGCAAGTTTTACACAAGTGCAGCTAGGAGTGGAGGCACCATGCATTTCAGAAGCTCTGTAGAATTTCTGGAAGATGAGTAGTTCTCTTAATTCTTTGGAAATGCCAATGCGTGAACTAGCCTGTGTTTCAAACCAGTGTTTTGAACAGGAGAGTGTTTTTCCAAACAATTTCTAAAGACAATATTAAACATTCTGCAAGAACTCTTATAACCCTAAAAGCATCGATTTCGTGAAATTTTACTTGTGAACCTGAGCTCTGGAGGCCTCTAGTGAAATAGGTGAAGGCAGGTGCTTAGTTGCTTTAGCAGCAAACTTCCTCAGTCTGCACAAATCCCATATTGATTTTGGCAGCCTTTGCATGTGCAGACCACCACTGGCGTGCGTGCTTGACAAGCAACGCGTGCCTGCCTGCAACACACTCTTGAACAAGAGGGAAACGTGTGTTTCCCCACCCTGGCAGTGCAGTGCTGGTGAATTCTGGATTTTAACATTTCCAGTGGCTCCCTGAACAGTTTAGTGCCTGCTGGGCTTAGGTCCTGTCCCCGGACTGTGGGGCAGTATGTCCAGGTTGAACAGGTGATTTTGTGTTCATTCTTTCTGTTAGTGCTGCTTCCTCGGAGCAGGGGATGAGAGGAAGGCAGATCGCCATGGTGTCGCTCAGGACCTGCCCCCTTTGTATCTTTGCTGTGAGAGAACTCTGTGTGGTGGTAGAGGACAAGATGACTGGGAGGAGAAACTGTTACCACTAATCAGGATACAATAGGGGCCACAACTTTTTTCTTGCCTTCCCCCTGCTTCCATCAGATAGGGCTGCATGGATCCTGTCTGGGATCTAAGGGCCCCCTTATCTCTGAAATCTTGATGTCATTTCTGTGGTTTCTTCTCTGCTTATTTGGCCAGCAGACAGGCAAAAAGAATTCAATACCAGCCAGTGTGCTTGGCTCACAAGCTCTGGAGCTGAACAGAAGGTCTTACCACCTGCTGGCCAAGGAAGTCATACAGCAGGCCATAAATTCTGTGGACTGGGGGATTAAGCAGATGCAGTAATTTTACTTAAATATGTTATTATGGTTCTTTATTTTTGCTGAACGCAAGAGGATAAATTAATTTCTGGTATAAATTCACAAGAGTAAGTGCACTTCCACTGCAGATGAACTCTGCCCCTTATTTTTGTGCAGTATAGTTATCATTTGCAGTTTGTATTCCTTTATTTGAAACATATGCTGACATATAATATTGCTCATTTGGGATGGGAAAAAAAAAAAAAAACCTCTCCAAATAGGTCTTAGCTCTGAAAGAAATGTTTTCAAGTGGAATAATAAAAACTCAACTGATATCTTTTGCTGCTGTAGGGTTCAACATCACTGGTTATAAACTTTTTTTTTTTAATCTGGCTGTCTTGTGGCAGGAATTAAAATCAATCACAGGAACAGCATCCTACCGTCCCCTGTCTTGTTCTACCTAAATTGTGCTTAACAGTTTAAAAATGAGCTGCAAAATTTTTAAGTGATTTATTTCATCTTCTCCATGGTCATAGCAGAACTTTTTTTCAATTCAGAAATCTGGTTGCAACCCCATACTGAACTCTTGCTCCTTCGCTGCAGAAATTTGTTAGCTAGAGCTAGATTAGATTTTTAGCAGCTAATCTAACTGCTGTAGGGGTTTGCAAAGTGGGGACAGAGCTGTGCTATTGGATTTGCCCAATTCATTTGACTCCAGGACTATAATTGCACTTATGTCTTACAAGGCTTTTATAGCCTAGGGCTGGCGAGCAGCAGAAAAACAAATTGGCAGTGATACAGTAAGAGTGAAAGGGAATGAAAGGCACACATTATCAGTCTGCAGGCAGCACTGCTCTGGCAGGAAGTTTCTTGGTTAATTTACAAATAAAACTTAGATTTTAGGATGGGTTCGCTGTCAGCCAGACAATGGGGATGTCAGGCCCGACTGTTACTTAGCAAAAGTAGCAGCCCTGCCTGCCCAAAAGCAGGAATTCTGCAGCCCAACAGACGACTCCCCTCTGGAGCCAGCTGGCTGTGTAATGCAATTAGCTGGGAAAGGAGGTCAGGCCACGAGGTGTGTGCCGTGACCGGCGGCAGCGGGCTGCTGGGGACCTCAGCCGAAACCTGCCGCGGCCTGCGGGGCAGCGGGCCCACCCCACAGCCCGGGCTCTGGACTGTGGCACGGGGAGGTGGCAGCTGGGCTGTGCTCAGTGAGAAGGTGATTGCCACGGTTTTATCAGTGAAATTATCTTTCAAGAACAAATATTTTTGATGAACAGCAAATTTACATTCGAAACGTTAGACCTCATAAGTGCAGTGATGGAGGGTGTATGACTTGAAAACGATGACGGGACGTAACTCAGGCTTTGAAATGAGCCACTGGTAAGTGGTGTGTACGGTAGCCAAGGCAGCAGTTTATGAGCACGCCGTGTCTGCAGGATTTTGAGCTCGGAGCCATCGCTTCCTGCCTGCGACCAGCGCGGGAGCCTGGGCTGATCCACCCCCTCCCTGCTCACCGAGCGGCCTTCTCTCCGGTGCAGTACAAGTACAGAACAGTTTGGGATTCTTCAGTATGAGAAGAATTTGATTAATACCAGAGTAGTTCCTTGTGATTTGAAAAGGGTCTCCTAAGTGGTACTTGGACCTGCTTTGATTACTGTTTTTGTAGCACCATGTGCCATTTATCACTCCCAAAGCAATAGGAGGCATGGCAGGACAGAGCCGTTCCTTCGGGGTTTGTGTTTTGTAGGGAGCAGAGCTGTGTTCGGTTTGAACTGCCCTGTGCAAATGGACAACTGCATCACCTTGCAGAATTCCATTTCCAGGTTTCTCTGTGGGGCTTTTTGAAGCAGGGGTTGCTAAATACAGCCAGTGGGGGCTGTCTGTGGGCTGGGAAGCTAGTGGCAGGGCTCGCTTGAGTATCGGGATGTGTTGGGTTCAGCCTGAGGAGCCGTGGGCACTGCTTGCACACCCATCACTGCTGGGCTGCTCTGAATACAGCCAGTGTGAGCCGGGTCCTTCCTCAGTGTTCTGGGTGTCAGTCTGCACTGTGACGTTATCTTGGATGTTGTTTTACATTTATCAAACAATTAAGAAAATGGAAAAGAATGTGCAGAAATCAGGGTGACCATGAGAACAGTAATTTGTACTGATTTTTGCGTGTGTAAGAAGCTCTAGTAGAAGTATTGTTAATGTTTCCATGTTTTTACAAGACAAATGGGTTTTTTTCTTCAGGAGGAACTAAAAAAGTCTTTTACTCGTAGGTGTAAATAAAATACCACTCTTTATCTTCTGTTTCATGTAAAATAAACTGAGAGCCTGAGTCTGTCTATGAACATGGCTTTATTTCACTCTGCCCAAGTATAGCCATAAGCAAAGTCCATAGCTTTAACTTCTCAATTCTTATAAAGTGTTAAGCTTTCACCACGTTTCTCTTAGAACTAGGGCACAGTTTGCCACCCAACATGTAGGAGTGAAAGCCTTGACTTTTAAAAGCACTATTGTGGTTCTGGAGAGGGTAAATCCAGCAATACAATACAGGCTGATACAAGGCGTGTGGAGATTATTTAGTTGTTGTTTACCAATGAAAATTACTTTTTTTTTTTTCTTTTTCCTTTTTTCCCCCAGGACAGAGCCAGTGGAGACAGCAGAGCTACATTTTGGCTCCTTTGTTAGGTCTATTGTGCACATTGTTCCAAGGGCTAGCACCAAACTGGGGGGAGGTGGTCTTTTAAAGCTTTAAGTGGGACTTAAATTCTCTTTATGCTTTGGGCTGGCATTCTGCATGTGGATTAAATTTTAACTTTAAAGCTTACAGTTGAAACTATTGTGCGTAGCTTGTACATGATTGCCAAATACTTTTTGCCATCTGTTACATCACCTCCAGTTCCTCCAATAACAAAGCAAGCACACGGGCTTTCAGATGCGTTTTGTATGTGTCATGTTTAAATTTTATCCCTATTTTATGCAGCTCTGCTCCAAATAAGAAGGTAGCTCCCGTAGAGTTTCCCATTCTCCTCTAAGTCGTGTGGCCCAGATATGTCTTGCTTATGTTTTCAAACAAAAGTCCTGTCCAGGCAGAGAGTCAGCACAGAGATATTTGTAACGTAATAAATTCAGTAATAGTGCTTCATGGTGGAAAATTTCATGGCATCCCAGGTCAAGGCATTTTGTATTTCTGTGACAGCTACCTTATTTTAGCTGGGATATGATGTTCTGTTGGTGAGTGTTTCATTCCAGTAATTCAGACTTCCATCTTAAATTATTGTAGGTAATGTACATTTACATATCGTGCTAATGGCTAGTTTGGTAATTGCTTAATTAGGCCCTCAGACAACAATGTGTTCTGAATGACGCGAATTATTTAGCGGATCTTTTCATGAGCAACTGGAGAAAAACAATATTTTAACTTTTTCCATAATGAAATATTTCTACTATTGAGCATTGTAATTCAATTTGTAAGCCATGACCCCTCATAAACTGTTGTTATCACTCTGATTAATAAAGAGCCAATTTGCTGTTGCAGCTTCGTCACTTGGGAAATGATGAGGTTCACATCGTCTGGTCTGAACACACCAGGAACTACCGCAGAGGCATCATACCAACGGATTTTGGAGATGTTTTAATTGTTATTTATCCAATGAAGAATCACATGTTTTTCATAGAGATAATGAAGAAACCCGAGGTATGTTTTGGCTGCTTCACTGGGTCTGTTGTATGTGTTACGCATGGGACCGACAGTTTTGTTGCTTACGTAAAGCTCAGTGGTTTAGAGTTTGGGGTGTTTTTTTCCAGCAAATGCAAAATAGAGTTTGTCCCTCTGAGTTTAAAAGTATGATGAGTTTTTATTTTAAGACTAGAATTGTTGAGTGATCAAAATGGCTACTATTTAGTTTTATATTCACACTTTGCTCTTAAAGAAATATTTCAGGATTCTCAACCCGTAGGAGGTGCGGTACAAAGAACAATGTTTGAAATCATGGTGAGTTTCCAGTGTGAGGCGATAAAAGTGAAATAATAAAGATTTAAGTTCCTCATTTGTTATTAATTCACCCCATACGGCTTGGTTACTGTCGTGCATATGGTACCATGCATAACCTCACATGTTTGTGAGGCTGTCCTCGTAATCTGACTCGGTGGCGTGGTGGTAGGCACTGGGTATCAGACAGACTATTTGAGATCTAGTATTTTCTGTTTCAGTCATTGTTACACAACCACATTTTAGACATTTTTTTGACATACTGGATTTTCTTTTTTGCCAAATGTCAGGTGCGTGTGTATGTACATCTGTGCATAGGTATAAGAAACCTAATAAATATTAGTCTGATACATTATGGATGCAAGAGTGCATATAAAATATACTTTTTGAAAGTAATTGGTGTGTTAAATACCATTTCTCTTGTTCAAGGGACAGTATTTCTCCAGGAGAGTAACCAGCTGTGGAAAAATGATGCATCAGATGACTTGTTTACCAGCTGTATCCATTATTTCTTGAGTTGTGTGTGACAGAGTTGTTACATATTGGTAACCAGTGGTTTGCCAGTAGACATTTCAAACTTTATTTTTTTTTTTTTTTTCAAATTGAAGTAGTGGGGGCTTTTCCCTATGCTAGATTTGGAGCTCTGCAATTTACTTCTTGGGAATTTTTTGCTTTTAATGTTCCATAAGGAAAACTAAGGTTTAGTGTTCCAAACATGCCTGAAAATTCTGTGAAGCAATCAAGAAAAGCTATGTCATCTTCCATATTAGTCAAAAATACCCAACGGGCAAAAAGAATAATAGCTAACTGGAAATTTAGTGTTATCCCTACATTTAAAGTACAAACCATTACAATGTAATAAAATTAATCCAGACATTTCCAGGGCAAGTGTGGCTGACCTTTTGTTCACCAGCTACTGACCCCAGGGTGAATGAAAGAGGCTTGCAGAGAGAAATGTCTGTTGTTTGGCTTCGGTCCCTGGTATTTAAATTGCATTCCCTAATCAAATGAAAAGGCTGTCCTCTCTATCAGGTTACAGAATCCATGGCAACATTTGGCCTTTTATATACATAATGTTAGCCTTTTTGTTTGCGTCTAAGTAGAGACACCTGGAGCAATGTTAACATTAACCGATTTAGCATTAATAGCTTCATTATATAAGAATTTCTGATCAGATAGCTGTTACTTTTGTTATATTGCTTCAGCTTGTATTGTTTTCATTTTTTATCTCCCTGCTTGGCAACCGGGCAATGATTTGCAAATTTTTTTTGTCTTGATTAATTAAGCAATATAATTATCAGGAACCGTGATGCAGTCTTTGCTCGACAAAGCTTCTGGGAGAAGACAATAGTAAGTCTGTTAGTGTGAATGCATTCCACGCGTCACAGATGCATGAGGATATTCCGAACAATGAGACGAAAAGCTGCCTGCAAAAGAGGACAAAGAATGCCAGGCAGACTCTACACACTGCACATACCGCCAGGGACATACTGCGGGTTCCCTGGGACACAGATGCCTCGTTAGATTGCAGCTAGTCATCAGAGATTAATTCTCAGCCATTTGGTACAATAATTTACCCATTCCCCACTCTTTTAACTAGTGCTGCTTGCTATAGAGGGGAAGGCTTTGTGCTCAAAAGGTTTGTTTGACCTTGCCTACTTTTACTGCGTGCAGCAGAAATAATTTTTTTTTTCTTGGAAATTGTAATGAAGCAGGTGTTTGCAGTGGGCTGGAGATTAATTTTTGTTTCATGGATAGCTTGGCCTGACATTTGGAGTGCTCGAGGAAGGGGATATTTCCCTTTACTCCTTTGTAGTTGATTCCTGTCACAGGGCAATATATTTTTTGTAACTGTTGACAACACTCTTTTCCTCAAGCATGGATATTTGCTCCCAGCTTAGAGAAGTCCCCGGGCACGGGGCTGGTCTCCCCCCCAGGCTCCCCGAGCCAGCCTGGGGCAGTGCCCCTGTGCCTGGCTCTGCTCCCGCGCGGCTCTCGCCCGCTCTGCCCCTGAGCCGCTCCGGCGCGCACAAAGCCGCCTCACCCTTTATCCATCTGCCCAGCCTGCGCCAGCTCCGGGCCATGAAAAATGTCTGATTTTGGGCAAAACACGTGCCTAGGGCACGGCTCGTGACAGCATCTGTGGGATGATTTGAAGTGTGCTTGGAAAAAAGCATGTTCCCCAGTTTCATGGGGAACTCTTACCTCTGAGCTGTGGGGACAGGGCTCAGGGGGGCTGAGGAAAGCCCCCCTCTGGTTTTAGGGCTCAGGGTGAATTAGCCTGCTTCTCTGTTTAAACTGAAACTTCAATTTTATAGTACTGAAAATTTGATTTATTAGAGTCTGACTACGCAACTTTCAGCGAAAACAATTATTGAACTTTTTACTTTAAAATGTCAAATGGAGATATTTTAGATAAATTTGCTGAAGAGTACCCACTGAAAGATTTTTCTTTTTTTAATGTGACTGTATTTATAGATGTGTATGCATTTATATACACACATATTTAAGGTGCATAAAATATACACACCTTGTCTATATTTTTAGTATATACATCCTGTCACACTGCATACAGAAGATCTGCCCCAGACTCCAGGTGTTTTTGAAACAGTGCAGCAAAGTCCTGTAAGCAAAAATGGCTTGTCAGAATGCCTGCTGGTGAATTTCCCTGTACGGCAGCACACAGAAGTGCTAATCTGACTTTAAATCTATGGTGTTTGTTTGGAAGTATCATATTAATACTAGTATGTACTTAACCTCCTTATTTGTACTGACAAAAAAAATACAGGTTTACTTTTTTCTCCCCCTTTTGTCAATACTTGGAAACAGAGAGTATGTGCTAAAAAAATCACGGAGAAATGTTGCTGAAAGAGGAAAAAGATAATGCCCTAGAGCACTATCACTTTGGTGGCACAGATTTTCTTCTTGCCACCTTTCTTTCCAACTGCCTAGATAGTAACATTAAGAAAAAAAAGGCAAACCCACTATGGAAACATTTTACACTAATCTGTTTTTTAGCAGGGTGGGTAATTATTTTAAGTAAAGGAATGACAAAATAACTGTGTGAAAAGACAGCTGTCATTTGCAGATGCTATATTAAAACCAAATTTCTTCTGTAATTCATTGCCACTTCTAATTAGAGGAATTCCCTAGATGCAGGGGATTTATATTATTCTCTTTGTCCATTTATTGAATGACTGTCACAGTCACCCACAAGCAGTTGCAGAGGAATAATAGAGGGTATTTATTTATGTGATAAGCCTCTGTACAGATGGAAAAAATCCATAGCTTAAATATTGATAATTGCTGCTAGCTTCTGTTTCAAGTTTGGGTTCAGTTGGGTTTGGTTTGTTTTTTTTTTTTTTTTTGTTTTTCATTTCATGTTTGTGAAAGGGAAATGAGCTGGACTACTTGTAAGTGACTAAAATTTATTATATATTTACACATGGAAAGGTTCTGGGTTTGGCATGACAAAGTCCATTATATGTATGCAGTTCTGCACATTTTTCACTTGTTCAAGTGTCTCTGTTACCTGGTGCTGCCTTTATCTGAAGAGCCATATGTCACCAGATGACATTCTGTGGTGGTTTCCTCTGGAGGTCACCCTGAAGGAACAGGGTTTTGACACCTCCACATGCTCTGTGGACAGACCTGTTTGCACCTGTCCCAGCCAGGTTTACAGGGACTGCCTCCAAGAAGTGGGAGTTTCCACCATCTCTTCTGCTTCACACAGACCTCGTAGCTTGGATCAGTTCAATTTTTTTTCCTTCAGTGAAGTCCATGGAAGGGATTTATAGAGGATTGTCTGAAACAAATATTTCTTTGCAAAAACTCCTGCCAGTGTCATATTCAGCCAGTGAATCAGGGTCTCCTGTTGGACTGCAAGACAGAAACCAGCTTTTAATACCTACTCATAATGGAGTATTGATATCAAATTTGTAGAAGAATTTTGTTCATATGCATAGCAAGCTCACGTTTACCCAGTGGTATATGCACATTTCACAGAATATTCACCTCTGTACTGATGGCAATTATAGAAGGTTTAAAATCTTAAAATAAAAACTTGGAGGATTAATATCACAGTGGATGTTTCAGCATGGAAACGATGTAGTCATGCAGTTCCATGGCGAAGTCACATAGTGGTGTCCTGTAGTGGGTCTGCTTTTACTGTTCCAGATGTCAGTAATACAACATGAGATACGTTGTGCACATCTGGAGTGTGGTTAGTAGAGTGGGCAGTGTGTTGTGCTAGCAAGGGTGGCTGCTGTGCCTGGAGGGGTCTCTAAAGATGAGAGGCAGAGCAAGCTAGTGCTTGCCGTGTCACCAAGTGCCCTCACGGCGTGAGCGCTGCCTGCTCTTGCCTCCCTGGCACCTTTCAGAGCCTTGCTGTGAAAATCCCCGGGCAGTCGGGCACGTTGTGTCTGTTGTTGGCATTGGACGTTGCTTCCCTGCTCTGCACTCCCCGTCCAGCTTCCAGTGGCTTTGCCTTTGCTCACGTTGTGTCTTTTCTGGGCCCGCAGGTGCCATTTTTCGGTCCTCTCTTCGACGGAGCAATCGTGACTGCAAAGCTGCTGCCAAGCCTCATCTGTGCCACGTGCATCAATGCCAGCAGAGCCGTCAAGTCGCTCATCCCGCTCTACCAGAGCTTGTATCCTTTCCTCCCTTGGGGCAGGGCTGCCCTCGCTGGGGCTCTGTTCCTCACTCTTCTCTGCAGAGAGGTAAGCTGCCGTGGAAACCCTGCCCGCCTGGTTTGGTCAGAAAGGGGCAAAGCTGTCTTCACATCAAGCTCACCGTTTTCAGCCGTTCGTGTCCTGTTGCCACCTCATGTTTTAAAAGTAAGGTCATAGCATCACTGCAGTGTTCTCCCCAGCAGCTTCAGTCAGTGCTGCTGGGGCTGGGCTTGCACTGCACACTGGTGTTTTGACCAGTAAGTAATGATAATACTCGATTTTCTTTCATGCTTATAGAAGTTATGTACAGTGTATACTGGTTAATACACAGAGCTCAGTTGTATTCTTATCCTGTTTGAAGTCGTCCAATTGCCTCTCCTTGGACTCATTATATTAATAAGACAGATGGGATTTGGCCTCAGATACGGATGTTTCAGCTCCCGAATTCCAGTTTCATTCCAACCACGTCTGTATTTGGGCATTTCCAGAACGTGTTTTCTAACAGTGGCTGAAAGATAACTAGATGACATGCTTCTCTGTTACAGGAATTGTAGCAGAGACTTGTTCTTCTGTGGTACACAGACTGATAGTGTTACTGCTGGTTTTCAGTTGTTCTGTGATTTTCTCATAGTGCTGTCATTATACTAGAAACATTTTAGAGCTTTTTTTGTTATTCATATCACTTAATCTCAGGACCAACATTCACTACACTTTGTTTATTTTGGAGAGCTTTTGAGTATTTCTCTAAACATATGGCTTGAAGAAAGTTTATGAATGAAATATTTTGATCTTTGAAAGAACATTTTGGTTAGTCTGAGACACACATTTTTAAAACACAAATATCATCAAAATAATTCAGTGGGCTTTTCTCAGGAAGGCTAAGCTTTATCCAGTATACTTTGCAGAAGTCATCAGAAATTAAAAATAGCATTGTGGTTAAGTAAGTGTGCACTTCATTAACTTTCTTGCTTACTCTTTGTAACACAAAGACAGTAGGTGGTAGTTGTGTAAGCAGTTAATGCAACACATCAGCTGAGAACTGTGGCACTACCTGACAGATGATTCAAATCTAGCTAACTGCTAACATTCTTCCAGGCAGAATTTAGCTTCATCCATCTGCTTCTGTAGTCAGCGTGTAATACTGAAGCAGCAGTGCTGTACAATTGCCATCAGCAGCAGTGCTGCAGGGGTGAGGAGGTCCTGCTGCCTCACTGCTACCCCAGCACCTCGCTCTGGCCGCAGCCCTCGCCTTCCGACCTGCTCCCCTTCTGCCTTTCAACTGTCAGCCTGCTGTGCTCCTGCTTTCCAGCAGGGCCGGTCTCCCCGGGTCCCTCCCCATCCCCAGGGAAGCCTGAGCAGCACAAATATGATACAGCACATGCCGCTTCTCAGCATATGCCCGAGGTCTAGCTGAAAGAGCATCTGGCCCCAGATTCTTTTCTTCCTTTTTTTGTGCCTGCTTTTGCACCAACGATACGCACAGCGGATCAACTGCCGCTTGTCTGTTTGATAAATGAAAGTGGATTGAGAAGCTTCTGAAACAGGACAAAGATAATGTGGTGGGAAGAGCCCATCAGGATGACACTGGAGTGGGGGAGAAAGCTGTCGACAGCTCTTACCACAGATCATAAAACACTTTTTTCTTGCAGCAAAGGTCAGCAGTCCTTACTCACTATCAGCACAGACATAGGCTGGGGTTCTGAGTGAGCTGGAATTAGCTGTGTGGAAGTGTGCAGGGGGTGTCAGAGCCCGTGCAGTGCTGGGAGCTGGAATTAGCTGTGTGGAAGCGTGCAGGGGGTGTCTGAGCCCGTGCAGTGCTGGGAGCGGGAATTAGCTGTATGGAAGCGTGCAGGGGGTGTCTGAGCCCGTGCAGTGCTGGGAGCTGGAATTAGCGGTGTGGAAGTGTGCAGGGTGTGTCTGAGCCCATGCAGTGCAGCGAAGTGCTTCGCAGCTCCCGAGGGGCACACGGGCAGGGAGTGACCTGGCACTGGTGGGTGTTCCCTTTGCTCGCTGCTGCGAGGGGAGCGGGCAAGGCAGACCTGGCCACTGGAACAGTAGATTAAGGAGTTCAGTCGCTTTGTCAGGCTGGAGATGAAAATAACTCAGAGGTGAAATAACTCAAAAGGTTTCAGTAGAAAAGAGAGGTAAACAGCAGTAATGCTGGAAAAGGAGCAGGTGATGTTTGGCAGCACATTAGACGTCACCTTGTGCAGAAAAGCTCGTGTAAGGCAGAGCTGAGCAGTCCTCTGCCGCTTGCGTTTGTCACACGAGTCGCATTAGGAGTCAGCAGCCAGAGTCGGGGAGCCAAAACTGCTCTCGATGGGCGTGTGGTGGGAGGTGGGTGGACGCCTCACCTGGGCTGGCTCCTGCCCGCGGGCGCGGGGGGACGCGCCGGTG